GCATGGGGTCCTTGTCCTCCTGCAGCTGGGTCTGCGGGTCCCCCACGCTCCCTGGGAAGGACACCTTGCGCGGCAGGGCCAGGCACAGCTCCTTCCAGAAGTCCGACGATGGGGTCTGCAGGGGCCGGGAGGGGATGAGCTGGGCTGGGAGCACCGGAGCACGGCCCCGCACGGTGTCACGGGCTTGGCTCGCTCTCCCCAGCACTGGGAGCTCGGCCAAGGTGAGGGCTGTGCTCCGGCGTGGCACCGTGCCCATGCGCCGGCAGAGAAACCGGCCCGACCTGCTGGAACGCTCCCCAGGGCTCCGGCTCCCAGCCTGGCCCCGAAATGGCCGGAGCTGAGGCTGGGGAGGCCCTGGAGTGTCACAGGGTCCTGACCATGCAGGTTTGGGGGGGTGAGCTCCCAGATCCAGCGCTCTTCTGGTTGGGTTTTTAAATGTCCTCCAAAAGGCCAGTGCCCCAACCTGCTCTTTAGCACTGGAGCCTGGGGGAGCAGCCCCAAAGGGCAGCAGGGAGGTTGACCCAAAACAGGAATGGAGGGGGCTGCTGGTGGGGTGGGTCCTGCTCAGCTCTCACCATGGGGCAGTCCCAAAGGGCAGAGAGGGGCTGGCACTGTGGGGTGCTGGGGAGAGAAAGGGGTTTCTGGAGGGGTCAGGATCCTGCTCAGCACACACCATGGAGCCGGCTCCCCACACCAGCAGGGTCACAGCGCTTCGGTGCTGCTTCAGCAGGGTGATGGCGGGGTGAGTGATCTCCCGGTACTGGCTCTCAAAGACGATGAAGATGGGTTTCCTGGAAAGTTCCAGCAGCCTCCAGAGCCCTTCCCTGTGAGAAAGGCAGGTGACAGGAGGGTGAGGGACCTGCCAACCCCTCTCCTGTGGGAGCTGCTCTGCTCCTACCTGAAGCTGCTGTTGCACCACTCCTGCTCCAGGTACGCAGCAGAGAGCACCACGATGAGGCGCCGGCACCGGCTGACATTCATGATGAGGTCAGCTGATGGCTCTGTGGACAAAAAGGGTGTCAAGCCCCCAGGTGCCTGTGTCACCCCCTGCCCAGCCCTGCGTGGTGCCTACCTGAGTTGGGCAGGATGTTCTGCTCGTCCAGGAAGAGCTTGTAGCCGTGGCGGTTCTCCAGCTGCGGCTTCATGATGAAGTGGACAAACTTTCGGTCGTCGGGGGCAGTGGCGTGGGAGACGTAGGCATCGTACAGCTTCCCATCTGGGGAGATCCACGGAGCAGGGATAGCATGGGAAGGGCTGTGTGAGCCCCCGGACCGCGAGAGGCTGTTCCTGGTGGGGTGTCACCTCCGGCTCACCGTTGATCTCCAGCTCTCCGTAGCGGTCCCGGTACCAGAGGAGCACATTCAGGTGGCACCGGATGTAGAGCACAGCCAGGAGCACCAGAAGCAGCAGGACCAGGAGGGCTGCCAGCACTGCTGGCACGTGTCCCACGGCCTCTGCCAGGACAGGGAAGGGCACGGTGAGCATAGCTGGGTTTGGTGCAGGTGTGCACCCCGATGTGGGAGAGGCAGCAGGGCCCCTATCCTCAACCCCCCATG